TAAAAAAAATCAAAACTTCTAATTTAGCGACCGAAATAGCGACCGAATTCAATTCATTCGTTAATTTTAACTAATATTTAGCAATCGAATTAAATTTCGTCACTAAATTTAACTACTATTTAGCGACCGAATTCAATTTTGTCGCTAATTTTAACTATTATTTAGCGACCGAATTAAATTTCTTCGCTAAAAAAATCAAAATTTATAATTTAGCGACCGAAATAGAGACCGAATTTAATTTCGTCGCTAAAAAAATCAAAATTTATAATTTAGCGACAGAAATAGCGATCGAATTTAATTCCGTCGCTAAAAAATCAATTTCTTATTTAGCGACCGAAATAGCGACCAATTTTCTAGCGACGACTTATTTTGGTCGCTAAATCGGTCGCTATTTTGATTTTTCATAATCGGTCGCTAAATCAGTCGCTAAATAGCGACTGATAAATTTTGGTCGCTAATTTTGGTCGCTATTTTGCAATTTTCTAGTAGTGGGCCCAACTCTCAACAAGTTTAAGCTAAGTTGGGCCAAAAAAATTTGATCTGTTTCAGTTATAAAAAAAATTGACTCAACTCACTAACAATTCGACTCACCACGAGCCAACCCATTATGAACAAGGTTGGCTCATGGGTTAACTCACCTAGTATATTTTTTTATTTTTTAGGTTCCCAAATGTTAATTTTTGTGACTATACATTTATATTATTGACTAAATTTTATACATACTAGTTGTAAATTATGATAACTAATGACAATGTGATATCATTTGTCAATATTTTATGCAAAAACTTTGATTTTATAAGTTGATTAAGTTAGTTATGGATGAATTCTATTTTTGTTTTTACATTTTATTTGTCTTATTTGTTAACATTGTTATAACTTTAAAATATCATATTATAATATATATTTTTTACATTTAAGTGACTCAATCCATGATGGGTCGAGCCAGGTTGATTATTTTTAAGCTCATCTAAAGGTGAGTTGAGTTGAGTTGGTCTGCCTATTGTGCAACCCATGGTGGGTAAGGTCAGACTGAATTACCCACCTTGACAACTCTAGTTTAGATGGTGTTGTCGCCATCACTTCCAATTTGGTTCATTTTTTCCAATGAGTCCTAGATCCTTTTGACATCTTCAAGGGTCGAGAAATAAATGCAAAATGAATGGTGTAATGGCAGTGTGGTAGACATTGTGCACAAGGTTGGAGAGGAAGGTGGCAAGGCAATGAACTATGACAAGGTTTTTGGTGATTGACATTACTCATGTGGGTGACGATACATTTAATGAGAGTGACGTTTAGGGTGTTTTGACAAAGGCACTAAATTCACCTCTCATTTTCACCAACGTTGTAAAGACTCTTATACCTTCTAACATGGCATGATATTTATTGATTGGAAAGGGTTATGGGGTGGAAAACCTAGCACAAGTGGTCCATTTAGGAAATATGAATGGCGCATCAAGGAAGAAGGTAAGGCTCACCTTACATTCTTTTTTTCTAATTCTCTCTCGAATAGTGACATAAGAAACTGCAACAAGATCTTTTGGTAAAATAAGAGGTTATAGAGGCTAAGACTTGGCTTCTCGTGCCATAAAATGTGGTATATTATTTTGCTAGTGGGTGTTGGTCAATTATACTGGGTTGTGTTATTGTTTTGGAGTTTAGTGTGGATGGTTGATTGTATATCTGTCATGTTGACTATCATGAAGTGAGGGTTGGTCTTATATTTTGTTTGTTATAAATATCACTATAATTAGAGGGTCGTTAAATATAATGTGTAAAGTGTTTGCTTATTTGTTCCTATATGTTTAGGTGATCCTATTCATAATTAGTTTTAACCAGGTGTCATAGTATAATAGCTTTCTCTTGTATATGAGTTTATGGTACTCCTTGTATCTTTATTAATACTAGAGGGACCGAGGTACTTCGTACCTCTAATAATTATATATAGACAAATATTAAAAATTGTAGAACATATAAGATTTTTTTATTTTTTATTTTACATTCATAAAAGTCTACTAAAAAGTGGAAACCAAAAGGATGGTTACTAAAATATATCCCCTTTATAATAGGTATAGATAAATTTTCTATTGGTTGATCCATATATATACAAGAGGGATCCATTTATTCTAAGAGTAAGTATACTTAGACTTACTTCATTCAATAACTCGTGTTTTACATCAGATTTCAATGATTTTACCATTAAATTAAAAAAATTTAATGCATAGATCAAGTCTACAAATTTTTTTAAAAAAATTGAAAACTATTTGATACTTTGCTTCATTAATTCAAATCAATGTATAAAATATTTTTATGATTATCCATCAATTTGAATTAATAAAACAAAGTATCAAATGATTTTCAAATTTTTAAAAAATTTGCAGACTTAATCTATACATTAAGAACTTTAAATCCAACGATTGAATCATTAAAATTTGTTCTAGAATATGAGTTATTGAATGAAGTAATATGTTGAGGATCTTTAGATCAATCTACTGAAAAATTTCACTTTTAGTGTTAAAGGATCTTCTTGAGTAGATATGTCTACCAAAATAAGATTTTAAAGTGGTGTCAAACATGCAGAATGAGAAACACAATCTCGAACCAAATCCTAGACCATTTGTGTCAATCTATAATGACAAATTAATGATTTATATTTAAGCATATTTATGAATATATTTGAGCATATTTTAAATGAAGATATTAAATTTATATCTTGATGTTATATAATACACCGTGTAATAAATTAATCTAAAACTATAAACAATGATGTTGAGTAAAAATTTAAATTTATATATATAATTTACTCCGATTTTCAAAAGTGAGAAAAGCTTATCATTTTACGTTGATTATTATTTTTTGAATGCAAAAAAAGATGTAAAGTACTTAAAAATAATTTACACGAGAAAATTAAAGAGTCTTATAAACAAATTTTTATAACAAAGGTTATAACTCTTCTTTAATAAAAGTCAATTAGTTTTGCTTTAAATAAATTTTCTATAGAAAGCGTTTTCTAAAGAATCAAAATGAAACAATTATCTTATTAAGACAGTTAATTACACTCATAGTCTATACTAATATATAAATGAGATACTTTTTTCGGTAACCACCATGGTCTCTACTTTTTATTTTATTTTTATCATTATACTTTTTTATTTTGAAAAATTAGAAAAAATATTTTTTAATTAAATTTAAGAACTTGAAACTAATGAATCTATACTAATATATAAAAGAGATATCACTTTCAATAACTATTTTTGATTTTCATTTTTACATGAAGCATTTTATTATTTGTTTATTTTTCAATAACTATTATTCTTATGAGTAACTTCTCATTTTTTTCTTATTTATTTATTTTTAATATAATACAGGTACAGAGTGCCTTTTTCCTGCTAGTATTCCATAAGGTTATTTAACTTTAATTTTACTTGGGATATGTTTTTTTTATAAATATTATTAATGTAAAATATTTACTAATTTTATCAATTATTAATAATTGTTTAGGGTTTAGCATTTAAAACATTTTTTAAACATTTTTTAATGTAAAAATTATTAATAATTGTCGATAAAATTAATTAAATACTTTATTGTAGTGTTTTCTCTTAATCATTTTTTAAAATACAAAACTTGAACTCAAAATATTTTATTTAAAAGACCCAAACTCTCATTTCTACTCAAACCAATAATATGTTGATACTTGAGATATTTTAGAATACTCTTATATAAATGACAATATTAATATCAATTTTTAGAGAAAAAATTTACTTTTTCTAAGAATAAGCCTTGGTTGATTTATCCTATCTAATAATTCATGATCTACATTGAATTTTAATGATCTAATTGTTAAATTAAAAATTCTTAATGAGTAAATGAGGTCTACAAAATTTTGCAAAATTTGAAAATTATATGAAACTATATAATATAAATTCAAATTAATATATAAAATATTTTTATAAATATTTATCACTTTGAATTAATATGACAAAATATCAAATAATTTTCAAATTTTATAAATTTTATCTATTCGTTAAGAATGTTATTAGAAGTAGATCCATCCGAATTATTCTTAAAGTGTTCCCCAACTTTTAATGTACATATTTATTAACTTATTTTATCATCGACATTTTTTTGTCTATCCGAATTTTAATGATAGATTAAAATTCAAATCATAAATATTTTATACATTACTTTAATAGTCATCACTAGACCAAACTTAGTGGATCATCAACTTATATTTACTTTAATATCCACATTTTCAATTTCAGATTCATTTTTTAATTAATTGCTTTTATTCTCTCCATCTAACAAAAAAGAAATTAAAAAAAAAAAACTGACAGACAAACACATCGTTAACAGTATTGCAATTTAATCCTTCAATAAAACCGTGCACCATTTTATTTGAACATGGATAAATCCTTGCCTCCTTGGGCTGTCCCTATCTCATTTTATCTATTGTGTGAATTAAAAACTAGCAGGAAAAAGGTACTCTGTGCCTGTATTATATTAAAAATAAATAAATAAATAAAAATGAAAAGTTACTCATAAAAATAATAGTTATTGAAAACTAAACAAATAATAAAATGTTTCATGTAGAAATGAAATCAAAAATAATTATTGAAAGTGATATCTCTTTTATATATTAGTATAAATTCATTACTTTTAAGTTCTTAAATTTAATTAAAAAATATTTTTTCTAATTTTTTAAAATAAAATATTATAATAGTAAAAAAAAGTAAAAAATACTGTGGTTATCGAAAAGACTCCTTTATATATTAGTATAGATAATGTATTTAATTTGTTTATGTTACTTGGTCTCCTTGGCTTTTTCCTCTCCCGTTTCTATAGGCAAAGTTTGCGAAGGTGTAGCATCCTAGACGTGACAAACTTGTTCAACATCCGTGTTCATTTCCAACCACACACCCAAACACCTAAAACTTTGCAACCACCCCTTTCAACACTCTATTCTCTTTGCATTACTACCAAAAACACAAAAGGAGAAACAAAAACCTGTCACTAACTGCTACTTCCAACTTAAAAAAAAAAACTAAATAATAAACGTTACTTTCAATCCACACACATTTTACACTGTACAATCTCAAAGCCATACCCGGTCAAGGCATCATCATCTCTTCCAACCAATAACTAAGGTGATCTTGTACCATTTTCCTCCAAATTTTGATGGGAAATAGTGTTCAATTTTGATTATTTGATATGTTTATGAGGTCTCAATACAATACACATTAATTTGGAGTGCATCTATGTGTAATGAGGATTTTCATGAATCTAATGTGGGTAATGTCTAATCTGATTTTTGTGTCTTGTTAAAAGGTGTGTCATGGTACCTATAAAATATCTTGTATTTCAATATCTATAATTGAATTGATGGGACAATAGTGTTTTCTCGGAAAACTCTTCTTTCTCTAACAAAAATGTAAATTTTTTGTTTAACAGGTTCTGTGAGTGTCGTAAATTTCTTTGATACTGCGTTCAATTCTCATGGATTAAAAAAAAAAAATCAAACGTAAATTTTGTAACTATTTACATCTAATTTAATAATATTTTATAGTTATTCAACTGCATTTCACGTATTGCATTTTTAGTTGAATAATGTGATTTGCTGCATTATTGTGGAGTAGAAGTTTTGTTTGTCACGAATCGCGATGGAGATGGCTTCGCTTGTAATGAATCTGAACTTGGTCCAAATGCTTGAAAAGTCTTTGAGGCCTGACTTCTAAGATGCTCTAAGAATAACCATCAAAATCAAGAAACGAAGTGACAAGAAATACCACATCAACTTGTAACGTTCGGATTTCGAGTATTACCTTCTGTAGGCACTACTAATTTGGAGTGTAAATGTTTCTTTCAGAGGTTGACGCTTCTTAATCCACTGTAGTTTCTGTACATATTCCCCTTTATGATATTGTTTAGCCTGTATTATATATGATTTACGTGCAATGTATTTAGGGTTTCACAAGGAAGGTATGATAATTAGGCTTATCCATAATATTTCCGATACAATCTTTGAGCATTTTACTTTTAAGCATATAAAAAGGGATGATGGAGACAGTAAAGTATATTCTAAGCAGATGTTTCTTAAGAGGGCATTGTATTAAGTATTAAATAATGGAATCAAATTGGTTCAGTGGATTTCCAATCAAAATTGTTAGGGATAGTTAGTTACATGCATTTCACTTATGCTTGTAAGTTGTTGATCATGTGCACGGGCACATGAGAAAGCGTGTGTACTTGGTTCTAACCTTAGATAAGAAGGTCCATTTCTCTTCACTTTCATATTTTCTTCAATTTGATTTCTATATCATGTTTTGATGGGTTGCTACTTGATACCGCAATTCATGATATCAAAAGCACTGATGAAAGGCCCCTTGTGTATTAGCCCCCAAAAAAGGCATTGATGATTTTGTAATAATAATATTGAGCATTCTGATTAATTTGCTTCATTTGTGTACATGCAAATTTATGCCCCATGTTTGGTGCAGTGGTTGTAGGACAGAAGCGAAATGTATCATAGTCTACAGATAATGCAAAGAAGAGAAGAAAGACTTAAGCTGCAAATCAGAGATTGAAGTCTTTTCTATGGTGCATCATTGACTGGAGTGGCTGATTTATTCTGAAGCTGACATTCTTTTCTGAGCATATATGACTTCTGTGATTGTACAGTGGAAGTTTTGATTTAATCATAATGGATTTCAGTGAGGGTTATGTATCAAATGAACATCGAGAGCTTCATCGATCTGCAACAGAAAGTGCAGATCCATTATCTGTTAGTCCATTGCAACTTTCTACCAAGTCAACAAGATCTCCTAAATCTCCAAGGTCCCCTAAATCTCCCAGGTCTCCAAAATCTCCAAGGTCCCCAAAGGTGCAAGGCAAGTGCAGCAATCTAACTCCAAGGAATAATAGACCATCATATTTCCAAAATGATGGACGTCCAAAGAAAGGTTTAGTTTTCATTGCTAGTTTCCTCTTTCAAACACTTGATAACTTCATTTAGTCTTAGGAAACTCATAAAATGTGTGAGAAGAGAAGTGATGACCAGAGACTTGTGTTGATACATTCCCTCATTTAGTCTTAGGAGACTCATGATAATTGGACTTCTTAAATTTTTAAATACTTGGAATAACTATTCGTAGAACATTTGAATATGAGGCAGATAAAAATGTCATGGTTCTCATGAGTGATACTCATTATCAACAGAAGGATATTTAACTTTTCATATTGTTATTATCTAAGTACTTGGAATAGGAGAATATTCATTTAATGTTTAGCTTTGCCTTTTGGTCACTGACTCAGACAATGAGGATTGGTCTAGCCTTGGTGTTTTATGACTAATCAAATCATGTAAAAAGCATTATTTGCATTCCTTAAATTCACAGAAGCAACCTGTTTATCCTAATCTCATTGTGCAGGTGGTTCTGGGGGAAAAGGTACTTGGGGTGGATTGCTTGATACAGATGACTCGAATGTTCTTGATCCTAATGATCCAAACTATGACAGCACTGAGGTAAGGGGTTAAGATTTTATCAATATATTATAATAGTGACTTATATTACATGGATCAAATCTTTGGTCTCTTATTTTGTTCTAAAAGTGTTTGCTTTGCTTCATTAACAACCATGAAAGTATATATGGTTTTGTAGGAATATGACCATTCAAATGAAAAGAAACCGACAACAGAACTCGAGGACTACAAGAAAAAAGCTATAGTAATAGTGGAGGAATACTTTGCCACTGATGATGTTGTTGCAACAATGAATGAAGTTAAAGAATTGGGAAAACCAGAGTATGGCTACTATTTTGTCAAAAAACTTGTCTCTATGTCCATGGACAGACATGACAAAGAAAAAGAAATGGCTGCTATTCTGTTATCTGCACTTTATGCTGACATATTTGATCCTTCACAAGTTTACAAAGGTTTCGGCAAATTAGTTGAATCAGCAGATGACTTGATTGTAGATATACCAGATACAGTTGAAGTTCTAGCACTTTTCATAGCCCGAGCCGTGGTTGATGACATTCTTCCTCCAGCATTTTTGAAGAAACAAATGGCCCATTTACCCAAAGATTCAAAAGGGGTTGAGGTCTTGAAAAAAACTGAGAAAAGCTATCTAGCAGCCCCTCTTCATGCAGAAATCATAGAGAGATGCTGGGGAGGTAGTAAGAATACCACAGTTGATGATGTTAAAGCTAAGATAAACAATTTTTTGAAGGAGTATGTTGTAAGTGGTGACAAGAAAGAAGCCTTCAGATGCATCAAAGATCTCAAAGTTCCTTTCTTCCATCACGAAATAGTGAAACGGGCTCTTATAATGGCAATGGAGAGACGTCAAGCAGAACCTCCACTGTTGGACCTGTTGAAAGAGGCTGCCGAAGAAGGTTTCATCAACTCTAGCCAAATGTCTAAAGGGTTCGATAGGTTGATTGACACAGTTGATGACTTATCACTTGACATACCAAATGCACGTGGAATACTGCAGCAACTAATGTCTAAAGCAGCATCTGAAGGTTGGTTATGTGTTTCATCCTTGAAATCACTCTCAGTTGAGCCTGAAAGGAACACAATAGAAGATAGTGCTGCCAAAAATTTCAAGGTAAAGACTCAGTCCATCATCAAAGAGTACTTCTTATCAGGTGATATATTGGAGGTAAATAGCTGTCTAGAGCAAGAAAACAGCAACAACTGTGCTGCACTTAATGCAATCTTTGTCAAAAAACTGATAACTCTTGCAATGGATAGGAAGAATCGGGAAAAGGAAATGGCTTCTGTGTTGCTGTCATCTCTGTGTTTCCCATCTGATGATGTTGTGAGTGGTTTTGTGATGTTGATAGAGTCGGCTGATGACACTGCTCTGGACAATCCGGTTGTTGTTGAGGATCTTGCAATGTTTCTAGCTAGAGCAGTAGTGGATGAAGTCCTAGCCCCACAACACCTTGAAGAGATTGGAACACAATGTTTGGGGCCAGACTCAGTTGGGAGCAAAGTTCTTCAAATGACAAAGTCATTGCTAAAGGCTAGACTCGCTGGCGAGCGAATCTTGAGGTGTTGGGGTGGTGGGGGCAGTAGCAAGCCTGGATGGGCGGTTGAGGATGTCAAGGACATGATTGGGAAGCTCTTGGAGGAGTATGAATCCGGTGGCGACATAAGAGAGGCATGTCGCTGCATGAAAGAGTTAGGAATGCCATTTTTCCACCATGAGGTTGTTAAGAAGGCTTTGGTAACAATCATTGAGAAGAAGAATGAGAGGCTATGGGGTCTACTCAAGGAGTGCTATGAATCAGGACTAATAACCATGAACCAAATGGTGAAGGGTTTTCAAAGGGTTGCCGAATCTCTTGATGACTTGGCCTTGGATGTCCCTGATGCTAAGACTCAGTTTGCGTGCTATGTTGAAAGAGCAAAGGCTAAAGGATGGTTGGACAGTTCATTTTGTTTCAACAAACAGGAACAAGCAACAGAGAATGGCACTCACTAATGATAATGTGGGTAATCATCATCAACAATACTAGTTTTGCTTTATCTCCTTTTTCCAAATATACATATGAATCAAATGCATACACATGCAGATATGCATTTGCATAACTACATAGCTAGCCTTGTAGAGAACTCAGAAATTTCTCTACGCTATTTCTGTTTGTTTTCTTCTCAGAAGACCCTTTATCACTGGAGCTTACAGGAGCTGAAGTTGCTTCATACTTACCACATTCCCAGAAAAAATTTAAATTCTAAATAAATACGCGCATGTGCATATATATATATATAGACATACATATATATATATATATACATATATATATATAAAATATAGTTTATAATATTTCAATACAGTATACTTGTGTAGACAAATTCTTCAAAGTGTTACTTGTTCACCAGTCTCCATTCTTTGATATAGGCTTTTTCAAATAAGACCAACTTAGATGAATCCATAATATGGTCAATTCACACAATCGATCACAGGTGTTTCTATGTGACATACTGCTCTGAAGATGCAACAAGGTCAAAAAGAAAGATATCGAGACAAAAAGATGCAGAGGATAACTATACAAGAAAGTCAATTATGTGACATTGAATCCTATATATATATATATATGTATTTTTTTTTTTTTTTTAAGATTGGCATTGTTAAAATCATATATTTCTCTTTTCCTATTCTGTTTATATGGAGATGGGATGACGGAGGAGGCAGGATCATATGAATTTGTTGGAAAGAAGCATAAACAAGAGAACCTGTAATGTAATCCCTATCAATATACCATATTTTGCTCCTTTTATGCTTATACTCAAGTCATGCATTCTATTTGCTATGCTTTTTACAATTTTGTATACTAATTGCAGGGTATTCTAGCGGGGAATATTTTTATTTCGATTTTTTTTTTAATTATTGTACACTCTCTTGTACATGTATTATTTAATTATTGGAACCATACCCGGTAGATATTTGCTATAAAAAATATATATATATCCCTGATAGAGGGAAATTAAAGATGCCTCGATCTGATAATGAGTATTTACCTTAACAAATTCTAGGAATAAATGCCCGTAAGAATACTTTAATATTCGATTCACCTAATATCCACATGTTATTTAACAAAATAGTGTTTTTCAACAACTTAGAACATGTATGAAACATTGATAATATACGTAAGACATGTTTTTCAGGTCAAAATGAAAAAGAACGTGTATGAGCAACTTTCAATAACTTCTAACATGACGCGTATCTAGTAGTGCTGGATGAGGGAATTAAACACACCCCTATAACAATTTATTTAATAATGACTTTTTTTTCTACCTCTCTTTATCATGTCACTCACCATATCTTATATTTCTCTTTTCTCTCTCATTTTATACAATATTTGTACAAATAATATTTCTTTATTTAATATATTGATTTTAAAATAAAAAATAATATTAAACTCACAACCAAGTATCTTTTGGGTTATAACTATTAATCTTATCTTAATGACTTAATTCTTGTGTTAAAATTGAAAATCTCAACTCCCTGCCATCAACTTCTAACATCTTCATCTTGGTAAAATGGTAACTGTGTTGCAAAGTATTCTTCAAATTGGTTGGTCGAGAAGTATCGTTAGTTGGTTATCTAAGAATTAAGATCTAAACTGCCACTTTTATTTAACTAAAGTAAATGCATGTTTGAACTAGATTTAAAAACTTGGATCATAAATTCTCTCACCAAGCCTGAAATACAAAATACACAGAAGCAACAATGTATGTACAAAAACGCTCTAAAACTAATGAATCTGTTTGTATTTAAATGCTTGTACAAATCTGTCTTGTATAATTTATACTTCGATATTTCGTATGAAAAAATGTTATTAAACTCGAAATGAAACAAGAAGTTTAACCATTTTAAACGGAAACCAAACTCAACCTTATCGATCACCTTATTAGATTAGAAATGTGGTTAACTCGATGTTAATGTATTCAATTCAGTCGTAAACCAGTCACAATTGGTAAATTTATTTGATTAGGAACTTCCAACACAATCACTTAATACATATACAAAAAAATATATAATTTATATACAATAAATTAACTTTTATATATTAAACACGAAAAATTATATTGCATGACTTAGGTATTATTTTTCAAGAGTATTTTGAGAGATTCTTTTAACTTTCTATCTAATTCAATTTTTTTATAATATTTATTTATGAATTAAATTTTAATATTTTTAAATAAATTATCAATAATTAAAACAATATTTTTATAAATATAGAAAATATTACTAAAATTATGCTTATTTATCTTAAATTTTAAATATAATTTATATATTAAAATATAATATTTATTTATATATAATTTATTAATACTTCCATTCCTATTTGTAAGATCTAACATTAAACAAATGTTTGTTCTTTTATGTAAGATTCAATTCATATCGTTTATATATTACTTATTTTTAGACTAAAATACCTCTAATTTAAGTATATTACTTAATTTGATGAAATTAATTAATTATAAATTCTTAAAAGAACATATATAAATTCTCTATTTCTTTAAGAGAAAGATAAACATTAATTAGAAGAATAAAATAATATATACATGTATACTACCTTATATCTGTATTTTTTAAAATAAAAAATATGTTATTTGAACCCATCTCAGTCCCTTAAACAACACATTATGTTTGCTTTCACTTCCAATAAGAAATCTTATAAAATATTTGAACCAATAAGAAATAAAAACAATAGAAGTCATAAAATAGTGAATGGTTTATAAAAAGAAATGAAGGACTTGAGAGTAGTTATGAGAATAAAAATGACATTAAAAAAACAATACGTTTACTATTGCTATATTCACTTGCAATAATAAAAAAGTGAAGAACACATTCGAAGTTACTGCAGTTCAAGGCTCTTGAAGATGAACTAAATTTTCAGTTCTTATGCAGCAATATTCCAATTTTATTCCCTCTTGATTTATTTTGAGGGATCATTTCTGTAATTAAGGATCACGATTGCCGTTTATTCACACGTCATACTTTTAACTAATAATTTATGTCAATCACCATGACCAACTTGATATCATTAGGGGAAAGGGATGAGGGTGAGTGAAAATTTTCAATTGGCAAGTATAAACTATATCAACATCAATACTTCTTGATGATTATTAAAAGAATATTTATTGGACACCCGATATGCTAATATTAATATACACCTGGAAAAAGAAATTAAATAAAAGAAAGAAATGGTAGATGTAATTGGTATACGATATGATAGGAAGTGAGAGATAGAGAGAAATGTGATGTCACCCGAGTGTTTGAAATACTTGGAACTCTAAATATTATTACTCTTATTAAAATATAAATTGTTACCAAATAAACCGTATGTACTCGCCATGAAAATTAGATAACGATATAATATTAGCTATCTCAGAAGATTCCCAATGCAAGCTAGGGCATGATATAAAACTATTTCCTTCCACTCTAATCAGTAATCACATTTGGACAGCAACAAAAGGAAAAAAGATAAATGTATCATCTATGCAGATAGATAGCCTATACTCGCTGATCAAGAACATCTATGTATCCATCAAACGTAATATCACTTATTATTAACCTATAAATTTATGATGATATAATTAATCAACAAAAACTATGTCAGTTTGAACAAAAGTTGCAAGTGTATAGAGAAATGCATAAAACCCTACCAGAGAAGCGTCAATAAAAGTTCATTCACCAACCACGACTCTTCAGAAAATCTTTGGTTCTCTTCCTCATGCGGGTGAAGACAATGACTACACAAGCCAAGATCCATGGAGGGAAGTTCACACCAGAAACGTTTAATTTCTTCAACCAATCCGGAGTATCCCTTGAAACCAGTGTTATCATAAGGGTTATTAAAGCAACCCCAATCAAAATCCTGGTCACTGGTTTAACTAGTGAGTCCTGCAAAAGAGAACTCTCAGCTAATGACAATATTACATGAACTGCATATATGTTTTTATTAGGATTACATGCCCTGCATATCATAGTCAGATATATAATAACATGACAATGGCAATCATATTGGGAGTATTTCTACTTTAAAACTCATAAAAGAAAAAACAAAATCTATATGATATAAAATACTTTATCAGTGACATGTCCGTCGAGATTTTATATTTTGATACAAAAAAAATAATCTAGGAATTAAATGATGCTTGATAGTCTGCAAATCAACAAGCCTTGTTGCGTTGAAAGCAAAAGCTTTCACAAAATTCAGTTAATTAAGAGGCGTGACAAACATGATTTAGAGAGAATCAACAAAACCATTATTATAATAACATTCATAAAATTCTCACCGCAAAGCATTATGAACCTCAAAAAATATTCAATTTTACAACCAAGAAATTTATGATATCACCAAAATATTTAAGCATATCCAATAAATATATTAAAAATAAATAAATAAATAAAAACTCTAAAAGAGGGAGCAATAGGCTAAAGCTGAGCCAAATAAGTAACTCAATCCTTCCTGGACCATACAGCCTAACTAGGGCAACACCCAACACACATGCTCCTAAATCATGAATCACTGCCTAGTGCTTTGATAAACTTTAGGAAACCTTCAATTAAGAAGGTTTATGTTAAACAGGAAGTGGGTCACAGGGGAATTAAAACCAGTGAATTGTAAGAGAATAATTAAAGGGAGATTTGTTGGTTTAGGATAGTAGGACAGGATATCAATAGAAGTGGTAGTTAGAGGGAGAGACGACGGGTTAATCAGTTTGTATTAGGAGAGTCCAGGTTCCTCGAATTCTGGAGGATTCTTTCATTCATTTCTTTCAATAAAGTTCCCTTACTTTCTCCCCTCCTGAACCAGTTTGTCATGCTTGCTAACCTAACAAACCAAGCCAAGAAGCAGCTTGAACATGTAACCTCAAGATTAGAAACATCCTGGCCAGTCATAAGTGTAAAATAGTTCTAATAGAAGATTTCCAATCAATGCCAATCATGAATTAGGGTCTGTTACGCAATCCAGCAATCAAACACCCCATACAAAGACCAAACAAACTTCAGAGGATAAGTATGATTGCAGCTCTCTAAACTGCATTGATACTCAACCTTTAGACAGCCAATAACTTATTATTGGAGTGTATTTTGTATGCACATCCACCGTCACGGATTCTCAACCTTTGGATACTCAGGCATCATAGAGCTGGTGGTAGACCACTCTCTCAGACAGAGAATGGAACTATCCCATAGCAGGTGTTAGGACAAGAGGTGCTTATTAAAAATTCAAACAATTTCAAGCAAATTAGACATCATCCAAGTGTACAAAGCACACTTCTAAAAAGCCTTGCATTCTTGATCCCTCCCAAAATCTGAAAAAAAAAAAAAAAAAAAAAAAAAGCCAAAGCTTCTCCCTCTTTATTTTCAATTAGAAGAATTTACTGAATACTTGTTCCTGTCAGAATTTCTAGTTTTCTATCCTTCATTCATTGTGATCTCCGCCATAGATATTTTACAGACACATTTACAACCATAAAAAAATAAAAAAAAAAAAAAAAAAAAAAAAAAAAGCCAAAGCTTCTCCCTCTTTATTTTCAATTAGAAGAATTTACTGAATACTTGTTCCTGTCAGAATTTCTAGTTTTCTATCCTTCATTCATTGTGATCTCCGCCATAGATATTTTACAGACACATTTACAACCATAAATAATACTAATACACAATTATTCTAATTCCTATAATTGGGCAATCTAACTATATACAATAAATGAGAAGACTACAAATCCTAATATATATGTGAAGAGGAATTCACATACTTTAAAAGTAGATCTAGGTAAACTTACTCTATTCAATTACTCATGTTTTACATCAAATTTTAATGATTCAACTATTAAATTAAAAGTTCTTAATGTATAAATAAAGTCTGCAAATTTTTTAAAAATTTAAAAATTATATGATAATTTGTTATATATATATATAGATTCAAATAAAAATATATTAAGAACTTTTAATTTAACATTTGAATTGTTAAAATTTAATGTAAAACATTTATTATTTAGTGGAGTAAGTATACTAAAACTTATTCTTGGAGTAAATGGATCCTTCCTCTCTCTCTCTCTCTCTCACTCTCTCTCTCTCTCTCTCTCTCTCTAGGAAATATATTAATGACAAAATCTTTATTGACAGTTTGTTCCTCCACTCCCACTTAGAAACCATTTTTACATTAAGTTCAACTGGTTTTATGGTTATGCATCATCAAATCCTCTACACGGCCAGTTTATATGAAGCAAATATTGATGCATCTTTGCTCAACTGCAAGCAAGCAGAGTATACAAGAACATTTTGTCACCATGACCTCTCAAAAATGAAATAATTTTCAGCCCTCACATATGCATTACTGCTCACTGACGCCTCTAGTAATGCTCATGCAATATACATCAACAATTATAATGCTTCAACATTTTCCTGTAACATGCCATTATCCATGAGAAATTTCCCAAAGATGACCCCCCCCCCCCCCCCCCCCCTTTCTTTGACGTATAGACGAAATCATTTTAGAATGTTGTCAGACAACAATGTTTGGCATTCTTCTCATTGTGGCATCCAATTTAACTCAAGAAAATTGAAATTTATCCTCAAAGCCAACCCAAACATAATCTGCAGTTTTCTTTCCACCCACTAACTTTTATTTTTTACAGAATCCACATAATATTCACAAATTAATTGCATGTTCTTTACTTATCCATAACATGGTATTCAAAACTAACACCTACATAGAATATTCCCCTTCCTAATTCACAGTACATCAAAACCTTAGCTTCACTAAACCAGACCATTTGATGCATTCTTTTCTTCCTATTACAAAAAGCTATTTAACTCAAACCATTAAACTTCCTCACTTTCCACAATCTTTATCTGGCACGCAATCTCAAATCCCTTGCTTTTCATTCAGCTTCTATCATCCTAAAACCCACTCATCCAAACAAAAACACACACCTTCGCTCCATTTGGCACAGCAAAATGAAAATGACAGGTGGAGAGAAAATTTCAAAGCTAAATTGAAGAAAACGTTAAAAAAAATATAAAAAAAAATCAAAAGTCAATTTTACTCTCCAGTCTCCATCACCTGTCTTCTCTATTTTCCCCCTTTTCTTCCATACATACTGTTAACCTACACCCACATGATCAAGTCCCAGTACCAAAACAACCAAAACCCAACCCATCTGGCCACCTTGATAACAGATCCCCAAACAGACCCCCCCCCCCCCACCCTCAACCCAGCAACGATTTAAAAAAACACTCGATTCATCAAAAACTCAAAAAAGGTTTTTTTTTTTTAAGACAAAACTTATATACAGTTCAGCATTTGATCATAATTAGAATTTCACCTCATTAATCTCTAATTTAACCTTTAATGGAACCTTTTACTAAGCAAGTTACCAGTTAAAACCCCAATTCTAAAGAGAGTATCACACTTAAAAGCATCTATTCAACTATATACAACTTAAGAATCGCTAGTTACACACTCTTTTAAACACAGTCCTCTATCGTGATTTTGTAATTTTCAACAAACCTTAACTAACAGTAAAGACTGTGTTCCTAACACTCCTGAGTCCTCATACAAGTTTGAACTAATTTCTACGCTGAAGCAATTGAATTGACTTAAACAAAATCAAAAGCAGACCTTGGGTTCTCCATCAAGGTAAACCACAGCCCCATCTCTATAGGTCAAGACGGACCTCCCGTTCCGGGGGTTGAACCGAACCGGCACGCCGCGCGCCCCGTCACGCCGATTGAACGCGTAAACGGACTTGAGACCGTGGGATTCGAGGATGTCTCGGACCTCGAGCTGGTCCTGCTCCCAGCCGCCCAGCGCCGTCTTGAACACCGCGACGGGGCCCTTGCCCTGGCGGAAGAGGTGGATCTCCGCCTCCGGGACCTTCGTCCGCACGTGCTTCTCCCTCTCGCTCGTGTCGTGGGGCGCGGCCTCGGGAGCCGCGTCCACTTCCTCGATTTCTCCGACCAGGGGCGTCTTCTCGTCCTCCATGATCGCTGCGAGGACGCGGGTTGTGGATCTGCAGTGCGGAGGAACAGAGGAGTGTTGGCGGAGTTATATATGCTTTGTTCGTTGCGGCGGAGTCAAGTTTTGTTGATTTGGGAATTGGGATAAGGAATTGTAAGGGGAAATGTAATGTAATGGTACTAAAGTTTGAAAGGAATAAATATGTGTTTTTAGTTCATCAATATTTGTCAAAATAAAAATAAAAATCTCTCTATAAATTTTATTTAATTTTAGTTTTGAAACTTTTTTTATGAACGAAAGAATTTAACTTTGGGAATCAAAATGTTAACGGGAGAAAAAATTTAAAGAAGAAAAGTGAAAGTTGAAAAAACTTTAGAGAATAAAATAAGAAAAAAAATTATTTAGAAACTAGAAAAAAAATTTCAATGAGAGTTCAAGGAGTAAAATCATATATAATCCATATTAAAAGGTTTAATTTTGATAACATTTTCTCACATTAAACATTTTTTTTACTTATAAATGTAACAATTCAAGTTTTCTAAAAAACTAGAGGATTTTTTTAATTAATAAAAAGTGTTTTATAGATAATATGATGGATTTTAAAATAATTAAGTGTGTTTTTATTTAATTAAGGAAGGTTTTGTGAAATTATATGATATTATGTGAGTTATTTGGATAAATATGTGTTTTATATTTATTTTAATTAAAATAAGACAAGGTTAATTTTAAGAAGGGGCTAGGGCGACTGATATATTCTTTTATGCTTCTCTTTTTTTTGCTCTTAAACATGAAAGCCCTCGCCTGTTGGAACGCATGTCAGAGACCCTTGTCCTTCACCTAACATCTATCAAGGTAAAAGGGGAGTGTTCTAGGAGGTGGGATATCTATTGGATAGCGAGATTGGCCTTCAATTTTGTTAATTGTTTTTCTATGTTGTGGGAAAAATCCCAATTCGATATGTACAATGAGAATTAGTGTTTTGTATGATTTGTACGTGCTCTATGATTGATCTTTGTGTTATATATGACATGAATTGTGCTTAGACGAGATTAATTATGAATTTTTGAGATCCTGTAATTTTCATACGAAACCCTTATTTATAGAGCAGGTTCTTGTAGGAAACTAAATGTGACACCCTTACTACCCCAACACATATACTGTAACTTTACAAATAAATGTTTAAATTTTGGTAAAAGGATTCACATGAGAAACTTCAAAAATAGTTCTTCAATAACCACAATAATAAAGATTTAAAAAATGAAACACAAGAGTTTACAAATTGTTTTCAAATGATATTTTACAATTCCAAATCCATATAAAAATTTTGTTCTAAAAGTCCTCTGCCCCGATGTCACAATATCAGAGCATACCCCTAATTTAACTGTTGGCATTCTAGATGCCACTCGCAGCCGGATCTTCCTTACCTAAAACATCCACAAAATTGTACGGTGAGAAAAGGAAACAACTATATGTAAAGTACATACAAACACACAACATATCATCTTATTATAACTCGATACTTAACAAAATATTCATAAACATCTCAATGTATCATAACTTTATCAATCGCGCCTCATCATCACATCACAATTTGCAATCACAACAATCATCACAAATCTTGCAATCAACCCTATGCCAAGGTCACGTCTATAGAATCTCTTGTCCAAGGTCGTGCCACTCCCGACATAAGTATTAATTGCCTCACATATCCCACACCATGACAAGGGTACGCTCGTCCTTGTAGCATCACTTACCCAAGGTTCGTATCATCCCTGACCACAATCACATCACAATCACATCACAATCAATCCTTCACAATCCACATAAATCTTACAATTAACACTATGTCAAGGTCACGCCACAACTGACATAAGTGATACGGGTTAATTGTCTCACTCATCCCACATCATGTCAGGATCACGCCCTCCTTGTAGCATCACTTACCCAGGGGCCGTGCCATCCCTAGTCATTGATGTGAGGAACCACAATCACATCACACTCCACACAATCTCTTGCAATTAACTCTATGTCAGGGCTACCATATTTGACATAAGTGATGCGTGTTATTTGTCTCACTCATCTCATACCATGCCAGGGGCACGCTCGTCCCTGGAGCATCACCTCCCAGGGTTCGTCTCATCCCTGGTCATTAGTGTGAGGTACCACAGTCACAATCATAATCATATCCACACAACATCTCATATCACAATTCCATACTACATACTGATAAGTTCACACAATGCAACGATTCACATACCTATCAAGCAATTCACCAAGAATACTCATTATAACAATATTATAACAATAATATAAAACTCAATTAACTCACCAGTTTAATACAATGTTTAATACAATGTTAAATCAATAGAATTACCAATTTAATATAATTTTAACATAAACGGTAAAACCCCCAATTATTCCAAAACCTAGCTCACAGGCACTTTTCTACAATTTTGTTCTCTCTTCCAGATCATCATTCTTACAAATTAAATATATATTTCTAATCCTCAACACATACAGAATCTAATGGGATCATCAATTTCTCAAACAGAAATAATCCAATTTTTCCAAAACCTAACTTACAGGCACTTTTCTATAATTTCGTCCTCTCTCCCAAAGCATCATTTTTACAAATAAAATATATATTCATAATCCTAAATTCATACAGAATCACATAAAACCAATAATTCTCCAAACACAAATAATTATAAAATTACTCATAACCCTAAGGGCTCTTCCTCTACCCAATTCCCTCATGTAACTCTACATATAAATAATCATTTTTTCCCCCGTACCTGGATAAACAGCAGTTGAACTAAAACAGGAATCTCTTGGTCTCTTCCTCTAAATGCCCCTTGGTCTTCAGAGAAAAGAAGAGGGAAAGAAGAGAGAACAGAAGAGAATAGGAAGAGAGAATGAGAGATGTGTCAAAATGAGAGGTGAGGGGCGCTATTTATAAGATTTCAGGCTCACCTACTGGAACGGCCCGTTCCAAAAGTGGAACGGCCGTTCTGGACCCTTCGAAACTACGCAAAGTTCTCAATTGGAACGGCTCGTTCCAAAACCAGAACGGCTCGTTCTCAATCCCAGCAGAACGGCCCGTTCTGCTTCTCCAATTTTGGGCATTTTTCTTATTCCGGAACGGCCCGTTTCACTTTTGAAACGGCCCGTTCCGGGCAATCATTTGGGCCTCAGGCCCAGCGATTTTGGGCTATTACAATACTCTCCTTCTTTATGAAATTTCGTCCCCAAAATTTTTGCAATAGTAGACTCTTCGCTTCTTACTTTCTAATTCTAATGCAACCTCACTACCTTATTGATGTACAACTCTATCAATTTCACCAAAGGATATCTAAGGGTAAGACAAGTAAACTTGGCGAGCCTATCCACTAAAACACAAATAGAATCATCCTCGTAAGCGTCTCAAACAAACCTACAATTAATGCCTATCCACTCATCATCTTACTTCCAAAATGGGACGTCTAAGTGCTACAAAAATTCCTAAAGACTTCTAGCATACTAAACACGAGTATACAATTTCTCTACTCTTCTCTTCACCTTAGGCCACCATGCTTCCGCTGCACCACTCTGATACATCCTTCTAAGGTCCCGATACATCCCATTAGCTCCTAAATATATGTTAAGAGTACTGTTATGTCCTTCCTCTAAAATCATCTTTCTTAATTCAAGGTTACTAAGCACCCAAGTTTGTTCTTGCCCTCAAAACAACGTCGATTTCTACTCAGAAATGATTATCTATACTTCTACCAATCTTCTCCACTTGGTTCCCTAAAAATGGACCTGACTCCTAGGCTTCTCTAATCTCATCCATTAATTCACTAGTCACTTTCAACATAATCAATTCAATGCTCCTAAGGATAATCTCACACACCAAGCATAAGTCTTTAAATTCTTCAATCAAATCTAACCCTTAAATCATCAAAAATGATATATCAAAGGTCATCATAATCAAGGCACCTGCCAGACATCATGAATAGTCTTTTTGTCAAATTGCTAGGGCCTTCCAAGTAGAATATGAATAGCATCCAATGACACTATGTCACATAAAACTTCATCTTTGTATTTGCCAATGGAGATAGGTATATTCACTTGTTGATTAACTACAAGCTAACTTCACCATTAGCGCTAGTATTCTTTGATCAGCCACTTTTGGCTCTCAGTGAGTATTATCGACCAACTCCTGGCCCGCTAACTTCACCATTAGCGCTAGTATTCTTTAATCATCCACTTCTGGCTCGTAGTGAGTATTCTTTAACAAGCCTCTCCAGGCTTTACAAGTATTCTTTCCCTAACCTCTTCAAGCATTACATATGATAACTAAATAGGTTTGGTTTGAGTGTTTTGTTTACTCTCACAAAGAGGATACATATGTTTGTACACTCACTAAGGCATGCAACCTTAGTCTTACAACAATTGAGTGTATGGTTAACTCTCACAGAGAGGATACAAAGATGAATACACTCACTAAGGTTCATGTTCCTAAGTTACACTTAGAACTCCTTAGTCTACAGAGATAATTGCACTATGGTACATTTGACGGTATACGCTCTTTCTCTGGTTTCATTACTTCGTGGGTTGGATATCACTCTTTTGTTAAAATGAAAAAGCCAACTTTTCAAGGTTTGAAGTAGTGATATATATATTGTCCTATAGAATTTGTCCGTTGCAAGTGTCCATTGAAGCAGATATAGTCATCCATGACTAGTTTGATCTTTTTATTTAATGCTCAAGATCTTGCATTAAATGTTTCTTCCTGTTTATAGACATTACGTGAAGTTTTCTTTACCTTTTTAGCAGCTGTGTCTGAGTTTAACAGAGACCTAGGAACCTTTTTGTCTTTTTCCGATCACGTAGCTGTAGGGCGTTGTCCTTATCTGAAAAAGTAATGTACTTTTTCTGACACATGCATGTTTTTTCTTTTGCGTGCTTTTCTTCTTCTTCTTTCATCACGCTATCATGTTGAGAGCATTTATATGATCATAGACGATGCCTGAGTTGTCCTTGGAGACATGATTCTTTAAATGCTTTCATGGTTGTCTTCGTCTGAGTATGTTAGTCTTATGCGTCTCAATCTGTGATTTTCGTCTGAGCATTTGACATTAATGTTTTGACTCTCTTTTGGTCTAGTCAACATTATAGATGGAAAAACTTTGTTT